GTAGACAGTAAGGCCAGGGACAGACATTACACATAAACCAGCTTTTTTAGTGATCAGAAAGTGGTTTAAACCTGGAACAGAACCGTTAGTGAACATAAACCAGTTTCAAAATGGCCAAAACCAGTTTGAGATCAACCTGGTTGAACGTAATATCAGACTTAACTGATTTGGCTCAAACCAGTTGATGCAATGTCTGTCCCAGACCCCTTGCTGGTTTAAGCTAAAGCTGACTCCCCCAGCATCCCAGCATGCTCTCTGGGCTGGACGGGGCTCTCTGCTCTAGTTGCTGGGCTGGCCCCTCCCCTCTGCTCTCTAGCCCGAGCAGGGAATGGCCCTAGCAGAGACACTGGCAGGCCTGGCCCTGTTAACACAAAGTGGGCAGGGAGGGGATTAATTCTTCCTGTCTGCCAGGTAGCAAAGGGGAGGGGGCTGCAGCAGTGGCCCCTGGAAATGGCAGACCCCGGCTGCAGGGAAGGGATGGAGGGAGGAATTAACCCTTTTCCCTGCCCCCTTCACCTTTAATGGGGCCATGCTGGGTTGGTTGTCCCCCAGGCTGGGGGGGGGCTCTGTTCTCTGCTGGGGGGGACTCTTCCCTCTCCTCCTCCTCCCAGGCTGGGGAGGGGACTCTGTGAGGTGCTGGATGGGGACTCTTCCTCCTCCTCCCCTTCCCCCACCCCCCTCCCACAGAGTGGGGGTGCTCTATGCAATGCTGCCTGGCCCCAGAGTGGGATAGAAATGGCTGGGCAGGCTTCACGGGGCTGCTCTTCTTGCCCCCAGCACAGTACCAGCTGCCTGTATAGCAGGGGCTCCATGCCATGCACCTGCTGCTCTGCACTCACAGAGGGGAAGCCCCGTGCTGGATTCTGCATGGAAGCAGGGGGCAGGGCTCTCTCCACTCCTGGCAATGTGGGAACCTGCACAGCAGGGAGCAGGGGAGGCAGCAGGCTCCAGCATGGGGATTCCTCCACTGCAAGTGCTGGAGCTGCAGGCGTGGGGAACAGAGCCCCAGCAATGGGGCAGGCTCCGCACCCTCTCCCAATGCAGTGCAGTGCCTTGCACCAGCGACCTGACCTCCCTACCTCCTGCTGCTGCTAGGCAGCAAGGCTGCATGCCATGGTGTGGGAGTGTGTGGGGGTCCCAACACCCTCCACCCTCACCCCTCCACCCTGGCCAGCTGAGCTCTGGGCCCCTGCTGCCCCTCTAGGGGGTGAATGTGGAGGGGGAAGAGTTCATCCCCAGAATGGAACAGAGCTTCCCCCTGCCCTGTGGCGTGGGGGGGAGAAGCAGGGGGAAGAGTCCCCCTCTGGAGCCAGGCAGCTGCACAGAGCCCCCCTCCCCACTCCACTGCAGGTGCAGGAGGAGGCAGGAAAAGAGCCCTCCCAGCACCAAACAGGGTCCCCCTCCCAGCCCCATGGTGGTGGGGAAGAGGGAGGGGGAGAGTTCCCATCTGGGGCCAGGCAGCCCTGTGTGCAGGGTTTACTCTCCCAGTCAGGGAGCTGCTGGGGCCTGGCAATGCCCCCCTCCTCCCTTGTGGAAGGGAGAGCTACAGGCTTCTGGCTTGAGTCACTGCAGGCATGTGCCGAACATCTATCCACTTGTAAACTGGTCCATGCTCTGCAGGTTAGACTAACCTGCAAAAATTGAATTAATTCATGCTTGGGCTTTTTGAATGTCTTTCCCTAGCCTAAGGTAGACAAGGTTCTTTGGGTGAATCTGATGTCTTTTATTAGACCAACCAAGTTGACCAACCAAGTTAGACCAAACACAGCTACAACCTACACCCCTGTCCTTAGCCTAAGACACCTAAAAGTTCCTGAACCCAAGTCCTCTTTACAGCTATAGCTCCAAATGCCTAATCATCATCGTGTAACCTCTGTCTAAAACAAGATGTCTATATCTTGGGGATGGACCATGGTTAATCTGAAACCCTGTACTACATTTCCTTAATCAACCAGGGAAAAGGGGGAGGGGGAGGATAGGAAAATGGATACTGCAGAGATTGATGTCAAAATACAGCATCATTTACCCAAAAGTTGCTAATTCAAATCTAGCCCAGGTTTGTGATGACTGAAAGGTGGTTTCTTTTTAACCGTCTGGTAGTGATTAAGTAGTCTGCACCAAATAAGCTATTTTTTAACTGTGACAATGCTACTTTGCAAGCTCGGTGTAGTGTAGTCTTTGTTCATTTTGTGAGCAAGTGGCCATGTTGTTAAAGCAACTAGTACAAAGGCTGGGAAATCAAAGACTGATTGGGTCACTTCCTTACTAGTTTAAGATCTGGCATAGAATCAAGCGTTGTGAGTATCCAAGCTATTCTTGGTCAAACTTAAGTCTCCATAACTCTCAGACCAGCTAAGTAAATTCACTAAAAAAAAAAAGAAACATAGGGACTCACTAGTAAGAGACCTGAGACTCACCCCTACTAAATCACTCACAAGAAAGGGAGTGAGAAGGTGGACCAAGAATCTATTTGAGCTATCTTAGATTAGGCCACCAGCCAAAAGGACTATTCTCCCCCCTTTTAAACATTTGTGTCTCATTAGCTCATGACAGATTACACAGGTTAGGGGATATAATCTCATGCAGCATGACTCAATGCAATTTCTTGTTTTAAAGAACTTTCCTTGCATATATAGACATTTGCCTTGGATGATTGACTATCCAAGCTACTTGCAAACCAGCAGGCAGCCTGCTGGCCAATTACCTGTGTATTTTTTCAAGTACAGTAGTTTCACACAATTATTCTACCGTGGTGGTTCTGGTGCTTATATAAAAGGTCATATAACTTGAAAAACAACAAAAACTGACATATTTTTCTCATACTCAAGTGGTATTTTTTCAAGTGGAACAAGGGGTGACTTAGTGAAATAATCATGGCTCTTTGACATATATGGCTGCAGTGAAATCATGTTACAAAAGGCACAGAAGGTTCCTCACAGTGGAACATGATTAGTGCTTTCAGCTTTGGTATTAGATTTACTTAAAAAGAAAGAGAGAATATGTCACTAAACCTGGAAAACTGAAATTCTGTTGTAGCCCACTAGATGGTGGTCCTTAGAAGTCAGGGCTCATGTAAATAGAATCAGTCAAGGTTAAAGCTCTTAAAGGTAAATAAAATCATACAATCATGCTCAAAGTAAGTAAACCCAGTCAAATTATTTGTGTCATAAAACAAGCTACAGAATCTCGTAGAGAAGTAGTTCTTCCCCTTCTCCATATTGTGACCCTTGGTTACACCATATTAAAAAAAACCCCAAAACTTGGGCTTCTCTCCCATCTTTCCATATAGCTGCAAGGAAAGGCAAAATGGTGATCATGCTGCAAACTTCTTTGCAACGTCCAGGCTGTCATGGGGGCCCCGTTCCTAAGTAGGAATTAGGGCATATGCTAATGGCCAGGGCAGCTCAGGTGCTAGCTGGCGGGGGTACTGGAGCAGGTCACATGGCCAGAAAGGGGCAGGGCCTGGCCTTTATAAACAGCCCAGGCCGGAGCCTAGGGGGTAGTTACCTTCTGGCTGCTGGAGGAGCAAGAGCTCTGCAGCGGAGTCGAGCTGGGTGGAGCAGACTGATAGACCCACCAGCTACATCATGGTCCAGGGTAGAGAGAACCCTGACCGGGAGGCTGGGCAGAAGAAGCCTGTGGGACTGGAGTGTGCGTTATAGCCGGTAGGCTTATTGTTCTGTTATAGCCGGTTGGCTTATGGTTCTGTTTAGTTCGTTGTGTATATCACTGGAGGACCGGGTGAGGCTGTAGGAGTGTGAGGAGGCCTTACGGGAGCTCCCCAGTAGTCTGGGGGTTCCTGGGTGCCCTGTTTGGGTGCAGAGCAGTGCTTGGGAGGCACGGCTGTTTGGCATTGGTGTGGTGCAGTGTGTGGGGGTTGAGACCCCCAGCCCGAGGGCGGTATTCTGCCCAGTCGGGCAAAGGACCCCGAGAAGGGTCAGGGGGCTGGGTGCCACCTTAGCCCCGAGCGCGGTTTAGCATGGGACAGAGCCCAGAGAGGGCGATAGTGCGGAAAGCGCGGGGCAGAGCCCCGGAGGGGGCGAGAGCATTGCGGTGAGCCCTGAGCACGGAAAGCGCATGTATAGGCCCCAGCGAGGGCGAAGAGCGCGGCAAGTGTGAGATAGGCCCGAGTGCGGGTGAGAAGTAGCCCGAGTCGGGCAAAAGACCCCGAGAAGGGTCAAAGGGCCAGGCACGGCTACTGGCCACCTGAGCCCTGGTGCGAGAAGCGCGGATTGAGACAGCCCCAGAGAAGGGCGAGGGCGTGTGATTAGCAGCCCAGAGAAGGGCGGGCTTACTGAGGAGACTCCTGAAGGAGTCAGCCTATGGTGCCGGCCCAAGAGGGCTAGCGAACACAGGGGCGCCAGAGCAAGGGGCATCGGTTGTGTGACAAGCCCAGGGGCGCCGAAGGAAGGGCGTTGGTTGCGTGACAAGCCCAGGGTGCCCGGCAAGGCACAACTGACCAGACAACATCCAGAACAGCTGCGAGTCTTGGGGCATGCTAAAGGGGAGGTAGGAGGCACGCATAGCCCATAAGGCTGGGGTGCAACAGGTCACCCATAGAGAGTAGGAGCCCAGACAATTATAACACCCAGTGCTAGGAGATCAAAGGCAGCCTCCCATATTAAATTATATATGACCAAGACATGGCGGGCGAGAATCAGAGGGTGCTGGATCTCCTAATTTGGCACGGCAGGGGGTGCTAGTGGGATCACGGCCGCTCCTAGGGCCCACTCCATGACACAGGCTAAGAAATCATGTTGTGGGGCATTCAGAAAATATACGGTGCACACAATATCGCAACACGCTCAGATTATTTTGACACTGCCTTTTGCCCAATGGTGTTTAAATGTATTTGTCTTTCTCATCTGTACACATTTGAAAAATGTTAAATATGAACAAAGAGGAGCAAACTCATACAACATAATAATAAAATGTTTTATTAATCAAATATATTTACATTTCTTTGTCTTTTTTTTTTCTTTAAATGTGTGCCTGTTTTCTCATTTAAACACAACGGTATCTTTACATTTTATATCACAAGAGTACAGCTACATGCATGACATAATTGGTCCTTGGCAGTAAAAAAAGATGCAATTTTATGAAGTTTAAAAAATGCAAGCAAGCTGTTTACCATTCTAATTACAGTGTCATTATTATTCTTATTACAACAAAGGACCCTTCCAGAATATTCTACATTAACTGCATGGGGATTTGCCCTTTTTCAGTTTGGCTTAATCATGTCTAAACTTTCAAAAATTGAGTGTGGATAAAAGACTGCACACTGTTCAACATATTTTAATTTATGGGAACTCATACACAGCAAGGATTTGGATGCAACAAAGAAGTGCACTAATGATAAATTGGAAATAAGTCATAGCGATATATAACTTTCAGAAACAGATGACTTGCCACGTTTTTGATTTTCAAATATTTATCATTTAGAAACCATATTTGGCACTTATAAGACAGCACCACATACACTAACAGCACCATACAAATGATAAATAGGTACTAAAAAGAGAGATAAGGATACCAAAAAATGTGGCCAACCCACACATCAGAGCCTTTAAGGAGTTTACTGTAATTGTTACGTTATTCAAAATTCTGTTTTTCAAAGAAAGACAGTCATTTTTGTATCCAAAAGTGTCATGTTATTTGGGATCCTGCTTGTGTTTTCACAGAGGACCTCAAGATTTTCTGAGAAGGGCATTTATATGTGTATATGATATTTCATTCTGTGTGCTGCACAAAATTAGAAAAATACACATTTACTTGTTGGGGGAAAGGCTTTAGATGCCTCAAGATTGGAAAGTGTGACTTTTGCACATATTTACCAAGCTTCAAAGCCAATCATAAGAGCTTCAGAAAAAGTAGGCACATAATGACTACATTTTGAGGTAATCATACTTCACTCACTGCTTTCACTCACTCTGTTCAAGCACATAAGATTACGTTCTTAATGGATCCAAATGCCTAATTATGCCATCCATACCTGAACAAAGCTTGCTCACCATTCAGCAAGAGCAGAAAGCAACTGGATGTTGTTTAATCCAATTCAGGATGTTTCAGCTTGTTGATTTTCAGCAGGACATACAGTGTTGCATCGTGTTGCTGAAGAGTGACACCAGCTATAAAATTATGAGTGGGAATGTTTCCCACTGAATTGTATTTATGCGCCACCACCCATTTTATAAAAGTGTCTTGGAGAAAGCAATACAGTAATTAAAACTGTATTGCTTGTCTGGCACAACATAGTGATTTAAGATGAACAAATATAAGAAAATGTTATCTGGAAGAACAAGATGATTTCTGCAGAAATTATACTTTGGTGTGCTTAAAATGATGCAGACCCTCATTAGGAAATCATTTTAGCTCATAATTATAAGGTCAGGAATAAGGCCATCCAAGTTCAGCAATAGCCTTATGCTCATCTGTAATTTTATGCATATGTTTCAGTGTTAGCTGGATCAGGGCCTTAAAAAAGAATTACAAAATGTAGGTCTTACTTGCTGAGATGCTGATGGCTCTAAACTACCACTGATTTCACCTCACAGAAATAGGAGAGAATGGTTCAATAATACAGCAATAGAGATGGCTAACATAACTTGTTTGTCAGACTTTAACATATCTCATTTCCCGCCTAAGTTTGATGCAAAATCTGTTCATCTCTGTAGTTTTCTCTGAAATGCCTGCATATTTTACAGAGATCATGTGAAACTTGCTCTGTTCAAGTGGTAAATATGAGTGCTTCATTCTAGTGAGATTATTTTATACTGTGCTATTAAAATAACATGCAAGCATCATATTACCACTAGAGATGTACTGAAAGGTTTAGAAACAGTTTCTGTAAAGTAGCTATGGCTGCTCAAGTCAATCTGTGCTCTGAACACAATGAGCCCTGAGTGCTGATCTTTAAATTACAATGTTGATACCCAACGTCTTTGATCTCCTCCTACAGAAATACCAGTTTGTAGCAGATTAGAATCTCAGGTAGTTCAAATAATAAATTCAGATAAGCGTCCATAAATTTGGACATTTACCCAACATTCAAATAGTGGAAACTCAAAAGAGATGTGCATTTTTTCTAGATAAGCTATTTGCTAATTCTGTAGAAGTTGGAACATTAACAGAAGCAACTTTTCTCAAAGTAGTTTGCATCTTTGATGCCCACACAGCAAAACATGGTAGTCGCACTAAAAGTTACTTTTTGGCAAAATTGTAAACTGTAATGCAGAATATAAAAACGTAACAAAAGGGACACAGTTAAGATAGCTATGCCCAAGATTTATACTGTGTTTTTTTTTTTTAATTTATATTTTACTGTGTTATTTTTCCCTTTTCTTTCTTTGCAAAATTCAGGCAGGGACTATATAAATTAATTGAGAGTTAATGCTGCTCAGCCTTTTACAGGACTGGGTATTTAATTTCTTATATTTGTTGAAAAACAAAACCCTCCCCATAAATTCCTTTAAAATGATCAAATAATCAACTGAGCATTTATAAGAACAACCCTACAATTAGAACTAGGTAAAAATAATGGAGCTATTTTTCTTCACAGCAGTTCACAAAATAAAATTACAATTTTGCAGTATGACATATCAAGACTTAAAACCTGGCTTTTTTACATTTTTATAAAATTGCATTTTTAGCTCTGAAACACCCAAAGCTTAAATATGCTGGGAGTTTAAAGCAAAGTTGATCTTTGGTTAAATGAAGTTATAAAGTCTAAAATATACCAAGGTTTTTTAATACTGAAAGAGGACCATTTTGACTGAAAATGAGTGAAGAAAATTTAGCAGTTTTTTGGTGAAATGAAACAATTTCATGAAAAGTTGAGCGTGATGCTGTGAAAATTTCCAACAGACCTCTCTGTAAGATCATACCAGTATGGGTACAACAGGGAAAAACAATGTAGAAGTTGACAAATAAGTACCTTGCTTTCATACAGTTAGTGTTCAGCAATGCTAGAGATAAGATACAAAGGACATATGGCTCCAAATGACCAGCAATCTCTTGTAATACCATGATAAACTGGGAGACTTAACAAAGCCAAGATGTTGTCACCAAAAAAATAGGTTAGCCCTGGGAATGGGTTATATATCATACTCTCATTGACCTTCATTTGCCAGTGCCAGCTCCCACTTTTCCAAATATCCCTTTCTTCAGCACTGAATTTCCTTATTCCAGTGAGTTCAGCCTTGGAGGTAGGCAGCACAGTCATTTTCCAAATGGCATCCTATTGTGCACGTAGCTACTAAAAATGTTTGTTTACTATATACGTTGTGTGACTTCCTAGCTGAATTGAAGCTAATAGGATTATTGCCATTGTCTTAATTGGTGCCAGATCTGTGTCCTGGCTTGCCTTGCACTCACATTTTGTTTTACCGTTTTAGCATATCACGAAGTATCATCAACTGATAGGTATGAAAAAAGACTAGTAGTGCTGTTTGATGGTATTGATTAAGAAAGGCACTGCTTTTAGCTATATTGTGCAACCAGTTTTGAACAGAAGTCCTCACTGAACTCAGTGAGGGAGTACTGTCAAATATGTGATGAGATGATACAACAGCAGTGTCTATAATCCGTAAGGACTAGGCACTTTTATAAGATTGTGTAAAACATGACAAATACTCCACCCTCCACAAAAGACTTTACTCGCATGCAAACATTTATTATTTTTTTCTTTTATTAAATATGAATTTGGTTCAAAGGGGCATCTTTTTAACCTCTAGCACCATACAAATTAAGAGTAAAATCATGGTCCTTTTGAAATAAATGGCAAAACTCCCAGAGACTTTAATGTGGCAGAATTTCATCCAAAGTGTGCAATTCCCATGTTAGCTGCACCTTGTTCATAAAGAACACTACTTCAGTGTTTAGCCTCTCCCATGTGCGCACGTTCAGTACTCTGTTATATTGTGTTAGAATCTTTATGCAGACACTTATTCCCTTGCTAAGTAAGCATAACTTCTTTTACGTTAATTAGAATTAGACTCATGCCTTGAAAGAAAATTAAATACATCTCCCTGAAGTGACTGCAATGAAGCCTGAAGCCATTCATGAGTCACCTGGATTCAGATTTCCTTTACAATATTGAAGCTCAGCCCAAGTTTGTTGAAACTGATCTGGGACTACTTGAAGTGAACCTAAGCCAATATGATAGAAATATCTGGGTACTGTAAAGTGGGTTTTTGATTCATTTTGCTGGAATTGATGTTATTAAATCAACCATCCAAATGAAAACTTGAACCTAGTTTTTTGTTTTGCTGCTTACAACAGGATATTCAGATATACAGGGGTTTTTTAACATTAAACCACAATTTTGCTGAAAACACTTTGCATCATTGCCATGATGCCATCCTATTTAAAATGTGCCTTTGTTTAAACTGTCTTTCTTTCTGACATCTTTGCACAACTGTGTATGTACAGATATATAAGGTTGCTTATTTGGTTTTCCCAGAGCTTCGGTGCCAATACATTATCTGATAAAAACATTTACAAGAAAAAGTGCACACGTGAGGTTTGGAACCATGAAAATGAAATGTCCTTTAGTGTGAGGAGGCCAACTCAGATGTGGTGCTTGATCACTTTCCATCTCACTATTCAGACAACAATTTCTATTATAGCCATGTCAAAACCAACTTAACCCAACCCAACCCAGCCAAATATAAGGATTACATCTGGGTCCTTAGAGTCATGCTACAAAAAAGGTGCAACAATAAACAAGTCCATGTGCATTCTCAGTCATAACTATGGGCAGAAGAACCCTTGAGATTCCTCGCTTTGGTATTAAATAACAATAATAAAGGCTTTTAGAAATAAAGCAATACATGGTGGGACTTGAAGTGTTAGCAGTCCCAGGTAACTTGTCCATTGAAATAAGTCTCATCCCTAGTCATAAATAAATAATCTCTTTCCTGGTCTCACTTCCATGCCAGGATCAATATCTCTTAACATCTTACTTATTTTATTACTGCTTTTGGTTTTCTGGGACTGATTGAAAGTTGCTCAGAGGAAATCTTTGGTTTTGCTTAAGTGTCCGTGACATTTAATCATGACTTTCCTTGCAGTTTAATTCCAACCAGTCAATCAGTTAATCCACTTCAATTGATTCTGTGCTCTCTGTTATTGGCTTGCACTCATTGGGCATCCTCTGGTGTCGACTCAGCTGGGTGGCTTGTGTGAAGCTCCTCTCACACCTCTCGCACCTGGTGAAGGCAAGAGAGAAAATTGAGACTGGGGAGCTGCTTGTGGGGGTGATGGGCTTTGTCTCATCCTGCCTAATCAGAACAGACACTCAAAAGTGGCTTCAGATTTTACCGGCTCAAGAGGTTTAATTGGTGGCTACTTCCAAGGCCTTGATGCCTATGATGGGACAAGGCCTGTCTGATTCAGAACAGAAGAATCTGTCAATAGACAGGGGGAAGGTGATTTCTCCAGAGAGGCCTGTCCTGCTGTAGCTCTGATCACTGTCAGTTCAAATAGATAAAGAACAAAAAGAGCTTTTTAGGAGTGAGCCATCAAAGAAGCAGCTTGTCTGCAGTTTTCTGCTCTGTAACCCCTAGGAGAAATTGATGACAAATAGAATTTCACCCTCTGCTCATTTAAAATCTGGCATTCACCTATTGGAGAAGAAGCTGTAGGGCAGTAATTGCTATGTATTATAACAAGAGAAAGCTCTTTATTTATCTGATATGACTATGCAGTTTGGTTTATGTTAAACAAGCTTGTAGGATTAGTGATTGCTTAATCAATTGCCTGAAAACATTCACAGCATTTGACATATGTGTGGGGTGAGAAGGAACTCATAAAGGTCAGCAATGTGTGCTTCATTGTCTTTTAAGTCTACACACTACTTGCGCTCTTTCTCTCTCCAGTGGACTACAATCTATAACAAATTAATGAATGAATTAATTATGTTGCAGTGTTTCTGAGGGGATAGGACAGGGGTATCCCTAGTTCAGAAGGAATCATCTGCCCTGTTCTAAAAGACAATCTACTATATCAAATCTCAACTTTTTAAAATTTGTTTTTCTTTCTAATTAGTATTGTGAATACTAGATGCAATTTCATGATGAAATACAATGAGGGACACAATAGACTTTCTTTGAAAGGCCCTCACTCAAACATCCACCTTTGATTTAATGGTGCTGTGTGATGTTTATCTTCAAAGATTTCAATAAAAGTATCACTATGATGAATTAACTCCTCATCTTCAAAGAAGCAGCGAAGAAAACAATGGTTGCCATTGCCTTCTATCCATCTTTATTTCTTCATAGGAAACGGTGAATCTCCACAGAATTAGCCATTTACAAAAATGATAAAATATGTATATGCATACATAATTGGAATGTGTAGAAAACATATGTTTTAGGAACTCAGTCCTCAAATATTACACATTCATTCGTCTAAACTACTGTACCAGCCTAAAATGTCAACATGCCTAAGTTGTGTTTCTTTGATTGTCTTTCTGGGAATATTTTTAGCAGCCTGTTCCAGTGTTAAAAACTGCACTGTGATCTTGACAAATGTAAAATGTCAGCTTTAATGTATCAGACCTATCAGCTCAATGAAATAACTCAGAAATATTGATCACCTAATGATTTTTGGTGTATTCATTAACGTCTATGTGCAGATCATCCTCTCTCCAGAGCTCCTGAAGTGCTGATGACACATTAGTGTATTGCTGATTGTTTATTAGAAAACTGATTAGTTACTGGATTAGTGTGTCAAAATATACTACCTTTCATTGCTTGACAAACTTGCACATTATTATATTCTTTATATATATATATCTTGAAGGAACTAGAATCAATTTTAGTGCTAGGATTAGCTTGGGTTATGGGAGGCACGACTATCTACTTGCTCTTGAAATTTTGTTATTTTATTAATATGTGTATCCTTATAAATGGTGTATGTGTACAGTAGACTACAAATATACATTTGTATAAATAAATATAAATGTACATATGAGTGTACCTATATAATGTATATACAATAGATATAAGTTAAGTTTTGGGTTTTTTGAAAAACATATGTGCCTAACATTAGAATCCTAAATCCATGTTTGGGCATCTGAGATTTTTTCAGAGGTAGAAATCCCACAGATGTCACTGGCAGCTGTAGGTGCTTGCCACTTCTGAAAATTATGGCATGTATTTAGGTGTCTAAATGTGCATATAGTAGCTAAATTCAGGGCACCCACTTTTGAAAATCGCAACTGTAACATAGAATACTCAAATACTTCCAATCTCGGGTATTATATGACACATGCACACATGTAGCCATCATACAGTGTAGCTCATAAACAGGAGAGCAGTTCATCAAATAAAAAGGAATCTGAAGAATTACATAAAATAGAGGGAAAGGAAATCACTTCAATATCAGATTATTAAGTGAAGCATCTCTTTTTAAAAATGTTAGACAAAGATTCAATATGGTGCTAGTATTCCATTATAGGATAGGGAGATGTCTGTACATCTCTAGAGGGCAATCCTATTCCTATATGGGGTTGGAGCGGGGGCGCTTACATGTGCACAGCAGATAATGGACTTGTTCCTACACAAAGAGCCGGGCAACTCAAGAGTTAGTTTCAAGCTACACTTTGGTCATCCACCAGTTGAAATACAATTCTTCCTGTAGGTGTCTACAAATTAGGTGCTGCAATCCCTGACTTCTAGGTATCTGGCCCCAGAATAATATCCAGAACTCAGAGCTCCCCATGCAGTGCCTGGGAAGAGTTGATTCAGAATAGTGGTCCAAAACCCCCCACATGCTGTGCCAAGAGTTAATCATTAGGAAAACACTAAGCATGGGATGTGTCTGCCTTCCCTGAGATTAGGTCTCTGACTTGGTGTGACAGAAAGAGTCTGTTTTCCTCCTGGGATACAAATCCCAAAGTCCTCTTGTGATGGTGGGTTCCTACAACTGTTCTGTGGCTTGCTCTGTTCATTTTGTATTCTGGCACAACCACCTCTTCTAATCTTAAAAGGAAAGCAGCTGTAACTGCCCAAGTCTGTTGGTGAATGTCATGCACATCCAGAGTACTCCTATCAGATCAAATCTTCAGGGGAATTAGGGACCACCTAGTTTCTAGATACCAAAGTGATTTAGGTGGGAGCTAGGTCAAGTCAGGCCAGTTCTGGGCATACAGATTACTGCTACTATTTTGTAGTATGGTTTAAGTTCCTCTACAGGCGCTTGTACACATGATGGTAGGGCCATGTACATGTGACAAAAAGTGATGGGAAATCATCATTTGTCTATCATAATGGCTTCACTGTGTATACATGCACGTTTTTTTTTCACATTTAAATTTTTTGAGCATGGCAACTTAGACCACCTCAGATATATTTTAGTTTGATCAGGGCAAATTGTCCCACTGTGGATAAAAAAAATCATGCATGTACACATGTCTGGCAGTTGAGAAGGTAGTGGAGATGGTGCACAGGGTGCTGGAAGCCTGGGTGGGCTCGCAGAAGTTTGGCCTTGGCAGGCTTCCAGTGTCCTGTGCACTGTCCCGGCCACCTTCTCTGGCCACCAGCACACCCAGCCGCCCTCCTGCTATCTTCTTGCACTGCCCCAGGGGCAAGCCAACCCATTTCTGGGTGGTCCCAGGCAGTTGGAAAGTGGGGGGGACAGTGCACAGGGCACTGGAAGCTCACCGAGCCCAAGCTTCCCTGAGCATGCCTAGGCTTCCAGCACCCTGTGCACTGTTGGATAAGACTGGGTGCTGCCTGCAAGCAGAGGCAGCACCCACCCAGCTAGCGCCCCACCCAGGCAGCCCCAGGGGACACCACTGCCATGGAGGAAAGCACCAGGCCCCCCCGCACCCCAGGGGCTATCTGATCCAGTGGCAGGCAGCTTGTGTGGACAGGCTCTGCCAGGGAAAAAAAAAAGTGGTGAGCCGAATCCTTTGTTTTTTCCCCCCTCACAGAGCCTGCTCACCTCTCCTGCAGCCAGGGGGGCCCTGGATCTTTCCTCCTTGTGGGTGCCTGCCCCTGGTCTGGGGTAACCCAGGTGAGCTGCTAGTGGGCAGGTGCCACCCGGGGGGTACTGCCACCGCAGCTGGAAGGACTGCGGCTCCCTGCAATTCAGGGCCCATCAGCAGCATGCCCACTGGCCACATGAGAGGCAGGCAGGCTCCATAAGGGGAAAAAAAAAAGAATCAGGCTCCTCGCCACTTTCTGCTCCCCGCTGCCCAACGCGGAACCTGCCCATGGCAGTGGGTGGGTGAAGAATAAGTTGATGGCGGGCTGTCACTATTCTGTCACAGTGATGGTAGCCCCTAAATTTAAATGGTGGGTTTTTAATTTGTAGGTTTTTAATTGTGATGCACCATTTCAAATTAGGGGAACTAACCCCCCCCATGTGTACAAGCACCCTATACACCTTGGGCTAGGGACAGAAGTTATATGTAAACCTGTACAAGTGACTGGAAACCAATTCAAATTGGTAATAGAACAGAAGTCCAGTGCACATAAACCACTTTCAAAATGGCCCAAACCAATTTAAGATAAACCTGGATGGATGTAGTATCAAACTTAACTGATTTAGGTTAAATCAGTTTATTGAACTGCTGTCCCTGATCCCCTTCATAGTCAAATGAATGCACAGTCTCCCAGAATCTCAGCATGCTTTGCACCTCCCCCGCAAACCCTCCTTCACAGGGTGGGTGGGCTGGCCGTGGCCCAACCTATCTGCTCCACTTGCCTATCAATTCAATCTATGCATCTCAGACTAATCTGTGACAATTTAATCGATTCAGCCTCAGTCTTTTTGACTGTGTTTAGCCCTAAAGTCTGCCTAATATTATTGTAGAACGGGAGAAAATAGTTCAACTCAGCAGTGAGCCCTCTAAGATAGATATCTAGAACAGGGTTTGGCGATCTTTTGCCACTGTGGGTTACAAATCTCCACACATGCTTTCGAACATCCTCCCTAGCCCCCCACCCCACTTCACCCCTGAGACCTCAAGCTGCCTGTGCTTAGCCTCATGGCAGATACCAGGCCCCTCTGCAATGTGGGTACATGCAGGCATGGGAGAGCAGTAGGAAAGGCTGCAAATGAGGGTGATGTGGAGAAGGCAAATGGCTTGATGCAACTCCACACTGCCCAGTCCCCCATGCCACCTTGGGATGGGTTGGACCTTCCCAGGTTAGATCCAACCTCTTTGCGGGCTGGATTTGGCCCAGCGGCTGTAGACTGCCAATCCCTGATTTAATATACAACAAAACTTGATTTTTCTATTAGATTTGAGGTCAGATATTCAGATAAGCTTCAACCTAAACTTTATTTTTGAAGGTTTTTTTGTGTTATTGCACAGCTGTGGCTATAAATAGTAGTAGTTATACTTCATACTACCGTTCATGAGGATACAATCAAGTACAGTCAGCATTCTAGGTAACCACTAGAATTTACTCAGGTGCAATTCAGGTTTCTTTCATTAATAATAAAGGCTGCATATTGCTAAGGTCTACTCTGAGGGACTTAATTCGTACCTAGGCTCAATGTTTGAGCTCTGCAAAGAAGCAGTTTAAGACTGCATAAAACTATGCCTAGAAACTTGAAGACCATCACCAAAAATCAGATCCTTGTTATTTTCATAACCTGAATCCATAGGCATTTTCGTTGAAATTAAAAAGATATGATCCTATTGTATTCAATGCAGCCGTATGTTAAGGCCTGTAGCAAGTTCTTTTTATATTTCCACAATAAGCCTTTCTCTTTTACTACTCTTATTAATGGAGGGAAAAAGCATGTTCTTTTGTTTTTCTTGTTTCTCTGACTGGTTGTCTCAGATTCTCAAGCACCATTACAATTTTTTTGCCCAAGAATTATTTTTTTGGCTAAGCGGTACTTAATGTTGGCATTCTGCTAGTTGATTGCTCAGTACTGACATAATGCTGTAAGTACTAGTAGTGCTAATAACTTGGTCTAGATGAATTTTTTACAGTAAATAGTTTGTTTTGTCAATAAAGCAGCTTTGTGTTGACTGAAAGTATTAATCCATTTCTATCAAATTCAGGCAAGTGTTTTGACCAAAAAATTGGCCAAAAATATTAAAAAGTCAAAATATTTCATTTTGATATTTTAATGAAACATTTTTAGTTTCCATGATATGTGCCATGTGTAGCTACATTTATTTTTAGAAAGTAAAAAAGCACCCTTAAAACAAACAGAATGTTATGCCTTCTCAAATAAAATATTTTTATCCAACATAAATGATGTTTTTGTTTCAGTTTTCCATTTCAGCAAGAAAAACTGAAAAATTTCTTTTTCAAATCAACCCAAGCTGAAAGTATTTATTGCAGATTTTTTGGTTGGCTCGATCATTTGTACTCAATTATGTGTACATCCGTAGGTGTGACAGCAGCAGAATTGTGCTTCTTTGACCCAGCTTTTGTTATCACTGAACTGAAAGAGATGGAGGGGCTGGCTAATAATTTTGATTTGGCCTACTTTTGAGAGCTATTCCTTATTTAAGAGCTTTGTTCCAGACTAGGAGCCGTAGTGGAGACTTCAGTGAGATAAGAATGCACAAAACACTGCAATGGTTAGGTTGAAATGATTGCTTGTGATGACATGAAAAGAAATCCCTTCTAACTGGACCTGCTGCCCAGATGATGTAGCTAGGGCTTTGACTACAGATAACCTCACTTAGCATTTTTATCTACAGGGAAATGCAAATAGAAAAGTCTGCTACCATAGACAGCAAAGTTAGCTAGACTTTGCTGAAAGAGAGCCTTCTCCCACATAGCACTCTCTGTCCAATCAACGACACTTTTTAATAACAATTAATATACAATGTTTTAAAATGCCTTCACAATTTTTGTCCCTTTCAAAACTGCCTTTTTCAAAGTGGCTTGTGCACAAATGTCCCTGCCAAAAGTGTGGATGATACTGTCTATCTACTAATTCACGTGTACAATCATGACTGCATAAATATTAGGTCAGATTTTTGCACAGATATCAGTTAATAGCATAACTGGCCTTTTGCGTGGGCAATTAACTAGTTTTTATACCTAATCTACGATCCATGCACTTCCAGCATATTTTCAGCTCTGAATTTGTACTTTGCATTTGTTGAAACAATGTGGTTAGTTGTTAATTAAAAAATATTGTAATTCAGTACTAAAACTTAAATACTGAGGTAACTGCAGCTTTCCAAATACAGTTATCTTGTTTGTTAATGATAACAGTATTCATGATTGCATGTGCAGCAAGAATATATAAAACTATTTTCTGCAGCAGGAATATATAAAACTCTTTTCTGTGTTGCCATGATTGCTTGTTCTTTAGTGGTAAGGAGAGTTTATACCAATGGACTTTTTAGGTTTGCACATTTTGAGTAAGCATACCCTCAAATCCCATACGTAAATATATATATTTAAAAGTAAATTGTGCAGTAAAACCACAAAAAATATTCATTGCACCATTCCTTGTTCCTTTTTTTTTCTGTTTGGCTTTGTTTTTTAACTTGAGAAGTATCAGTTCCTCACTTTTTTTTGTGGAGGAACTCTGGAGGATATAAATAGAAATGATACATAAAGATGAGCCGTAGCTCTCTTTCCAGTAAAGGTAAGGAAAGAGACCTGATGAATCCCTTTGCCCAGTGCAAGCTACCCAACCTTGTGGAAAAGCTTGCAGGGTCAAGGCATAAGCACATGCATCCTCTCATCTGACATCTGGGGACTGGGAGAATTGCAGTTCCATGTCACATCCCTACCCAGGTTACTCTAAAATCTTAAAGTCCTGCAGCCAAAAAAAAGATAAATTAGGACTGATGTTTCATTGTTTCTAAAAAAAGGAAAAAAGATTAAAAGAAAAAAAAACCCTCCTAAAAAAAAGACAGCCACAGCTGTTCTTATACAGCATAAAAAAGTGCAAGTTGAACACGTATTTATATTAGTTTATCTTCAGTTCACCTTTAAGAAAAAGCAAAAGAGTCTACTGTAAAGTACATAAATATCTTAACAATAAGGGAAAGAATTGAACATTATAAAATGTACAGCATTTAACTAAATGCTTTTCTTTGAGAATGAGACTGCTGCGGTCACAAAGAACATTCAGGAGCGGGGGAAAAAAACCACAAACCAAAGGGGAGAAAATAATAACTGTAAATGGGGCAAAATAGCAGCTGTATTGGAAACATGACAAAAACAGGAAGTTAAGAAAAAATTAAGTGGAGTCAACAGGGTTACACATAAGTAACACCTTAACATTAAAAGAAATCTATTTTCCATTTTGACCCAGAAACCTCTTCTATTAACTACTAAAATCTATTTACACAGCAACTAGATAAAATCAATCTAATTGCTCGCACTATTTTTGGCTCCCTTTCAGTATTTGGCTCTCTTGGTGTCATGGCTGAGACTCTGGGCTGCCACAATTTGCTACCGACACAGTTGCCTAATTGTGATTCCAGGTCTGCAAAATCTACTGTGCAGGGCATACGGAACTTGGATTGTGGCGCGCTCCTCCTGCCCCCAACACACACATGTACCGAGGCCATGCTTTTCTCCAACCATATATGGAGGTGAGGCAACTCTAATGGTATCTCAACTGAGCTTGTTATGAGGAGATCTGACAGGCTCAGTGGCAGAAGCTCTCTTACATTAACCAGGCATAAAATACAGGAAAAGACAAATCATGTTGAATGAGCACACGTAGTCCTTGAGTGAACTGAGAAAGGCACACATCCCTTTCAACTCCTTATTCTCCTACCATTCATGGCAGAAGACAAGGTATTTTACAGAAAATAATGATATTTTGCAGAAAATTATTTTTTTCCCACAGGGTTGTACTGGTCTAAGCTAAGAATTGTATCAATCTGTGCCTGTTAGATGGGCACACTTTATGCTATCAGAGCTTCTTCAATTAAGTAGGCAACACAGCAGAGCCCTTTACCTTAAGCAAAATCTACATTTATGAGCTGTGTCATTCTTGCATACTGAAAAGGTGTCTGAGGCTTTGAGAGGCATATATTTTCATTTTAAATGAAGAAGTAAGTCAGGGCAAAAGCTATTTTTGTGACCATTTCTATACAATCTTAAAAGGATGGAAGCTTGCAAAATGTGTTAAATTCTTTCCTTTCCTTGAACTTATTCAAGGTCTTCCATGCAATATAGATAATCAAGGTCTTACTGAATATATTTACAATTAAACCTGCATTAAGAATCTCCTGCAACAGGTAAACCCCTTGCCCAGAGTGCACCTGACAGATGCAACATATGAACTTCCAACCCGACCAAACTTGGGGTATTCTGACTCCAAGTCATGGCATGGCCCACTACAGAGAGTGGGGCCCTCCTAAAAAAGTCTGGAGCAAAATTTGATTCAACATTCCCTAAAATGTTTTGAGTTCATATTGCTTGGATCAAAAATTTCATGCAGACCTTTATCCACTGTGGTGGTCCCTATGAATGTTTTCAGCACAGTCTTGGTTTGGATAAAAGTTGAAAACAACCTTGACTAGACAGCTGGGTTTCTCCAGTCACATGAATGGCTCTTACATTTGCAGTTGTTCTTTATGAACTTACTAGAGTCATGCCACAGGATACAATCAATGTTTTTGTCTGTGCAATGGCTCAGAGTCTGAAAAGTATATTTTTTCCTCTGCACATGATTAACCTGTTCCAAATTAACTGCAGATTCCAGCTACTTTGATGTATTGACAAGACAATGACATTTCATTTAAACAAACTAGTCCTGATTGGATGACAGGAAATTGCTTTGGGCCATACGTATATTAGCTTTTTGCCTGATTTCAGTCACACTGTTACTGAATCTATGTGGAGTCTTGGCCTTGATTTTCAAAAGACCCTCTGGTGCTGGTACAGAGTGGCTGGTGCTGGTAAGTAGCAGCTAGGCCTTTCTCCCTCTATTCACTGTTGATAAACATTGATGGCTTCAGGTACTTACTTGAAAGGCTTCTCTCCCGTGTGCGTCCGGATGTGATTGTTAAGTGTTGTAGCACCAGCAAAGGCCCGGCCACAGTAACCACATTTGAAAGGTCTGTCGCTGGAATGAGTGACCACGTGGTTCCTTAGTTCTGAAGGCTGGGAGAAGGATTGGGAGCAATGACCACATTGATAGGGTCTGCAAAAAAAAAAAAAATAGAAGCAGCATGTGATCACCATTTCCTGTACCAGCAAATGACAAACAACTTGGTTGGTGAAAATTAATCTTTTCACATTGATTTTCAAAGAGGAAAGTCGATGCAACTCCTTGGAACTAGTGTGGAAGACAAACACTCAAACCCTGGAACTCTGCAAATTTAGAGATCAGAATTCATGTGCAGAAGCTAGGTTTTGAGTAGCCACACAGCCTGGTTTGTTCCTTATTTTCCCCAGCTAAGGGGCAACAATACATTCTCTATGGAGTGAAAAAAATCTCACTGCTTGGGATTTAGATTTTAGAAACCTGTTTTAACAGGTTTGGGAAGTCCTATTTCTTCCCTACATGTTACCTGTAATTATCGAAGGGGAGCCCAGTCTAATTTCTGAAACCATTTAGAAGCAAAGTGTTGCTAATCCATTACGTTCTCCATCTTTTTTAAAGACTAACTTTTTAAATATATTTGGAAAAATAACATGAAACTTTTACTATCATTTTTCAATATTCTTACAGCTATTCAAGACACTTTAATACAATTGATAGATTTCTCCCTCCCCGCCTGGCAATTCCTTTCATGTGATTCTGAAATGAAACCATAATTCTGTTTCTATGACATCACAGTTTATTGCCAAAACAATATTGTGAAGTTCTAAGTTCATATGTATAACATTAGTACTGCACAATCAAGCAGAAAGAAAAGTATGGAAGACAGAAGGACAAGATCAGGCTGTGAATGGAGAAGAGATAGAATAACTAACAAATAAAAGTAGTACAGCATGTGTATTAGAAATATATATAAAGATATAGATATAGATATGTCTTTATGTATATATATAAAGACCTTAAGAAAAGTGCATTGCATTCAAAATCTTGTCAAAATCTATGCCAACCACGGAGTTGGTTCAATGAAAGAGATCACCCACCAAAATCCTTGCTTCTTGTATATAAAGAAAATCAATTTCTGTTTTGGTATAATACATTTACTTCCCCTCACCCACCATATTCAGATCTCCAAAATGGTTTGGTAAATACTACAATGCTTTGAGTATTTTTTCTTCTTTCATTACATTTAACGTAACTCAGTGGCAGACTCCTGTTACATATATCATTTTTTAAAGAAAATTAAGAGTTTGTCTTGAGGGATATTAATGATTTTTAACCTGTGCGGCAACTTAAGGCACAAATCTTAATGTCTGCATTTTTAGAGCCATTGGCCAACATAGACTTAATTGCTCTCTCTCTAACAAATGTGTGTGCTTAAATGGCTAGAAACCAAAACTGGAGGAAAGGAGACAATGGTGACCAGGCATGTACAACAATTCAATTAAGTGCAAAATAAAGTGAACCCTCTCATTTGTCAAGTGAACTGCTTAATTGTGGCTACTTGCATCACCGATCACAAATACCATTATTTTACAGTGCTTCAGAGCACTGAACACTGATTGTAGAATTTTTTAGCTTGATTAATAGCTTGGGATTGGTCAATAACTCAATACTACACAATTTTAATTACTTACATTTGAAAATTTATCTAACAGATTTCAAACAAGTTTGAAAGAAATATATAAAAGTTGTAGAAAGGTTGCCTGACCTGGATGATTATGCCACATTGTTACCCCTATTCCCTTTAAAAATTATATACATACATATGAAATAATGCACTTCAAATAAGCACTGATAACTATTGTATATCTATTACCATTACTGGCAGACAAAAGCAATATCTTTTTCAGTTTTATTATTTCTTCACTGTATTGTTAACTTACAAAGAAATTATTTATCAAACTGACATGGAAAATTCATGCACTGGTAAAACAAATGTGATTTGTGAAGGCTGACTTTTAAAAAATTGTTTTTCTGATTAAACGCTTTTAAGCAAAAAGAATATATTAAGATAGTGTGTATCCATGAACAATTGATTTTTTTTAATAGTGAAAGGGACCATTAACATTTATTAGCCTCTGGTTATCTATTTTTAACAGCTACCACAATAAACAATAAGACACTAAATAAAACCAATTAATCTTTTATTTTTTTAACAGTCAATATGATTAATTTCATACTGCAAGAAGTCACATCATTCTTTCTATGTAAATAGTCACAACAGTAAGCCAGTTACAAGTGAACATTAAGATGCCAAATAAAATGTTGCTAGCACCTACATTGGTTCAAGTCAGATTTATTGACTACAATAACAATTTACATTCATATTATTAAGAATGCATTGCATTGAATAAAATACAAGTGATCAACTTATTCAAAAATTGGCTATTATTATCTCATTTAAATATGCATTTTGTTTCTGTTCACCCAATTCAGATAGGAATAGCTATAGTTCTCCAAGTAGAGTGATCCTTTCTGTTTATGTTTGTATAAATTATGTAGAGGCCCAATTTCAGTCATCCTAAAGTGAGTAGAATAAGTAATCTAGTAACAGTTACATGATATCAAATATAAATAAAGCCCATTTTAAAAGGAAAACAGATTTAACCATGCAAACCAACTGTAGGATCTGACAATTTGTAATTTCCCATCTCCTTCCTTTCCACTTCAGGCCATCCCCAATATGCAGAACTATGTACGCTTTTTTGTTGTTGTGATAACATTTAATTATTTTTCCAAAAAAGGGTATAAAAAGTTATTTTGCTTTGTATTAACTATTTTACCATATCTTTTTTTTCTTAGCAGAAAAAAAATCAATATCATATTATTAAAAATGCAGAAGGCTAGGAAGTAAGAGATGATTGGTTTGGGCAGTATGCTGACACCTTTGATGCAGAGTTGGCTTTGACGTAGAAATTTATTTCTCTGCCATGATTTGCTCTACACCACAAGACTGTATTAAGACAGTAGTCCCCTTATTTTCAGTGTCACAATGAGATAGGACCCATGAAATTAAAACAAAAATGGACTTTACAGACTGACTTTTGAAAAAGCACCTAAATTGAATCTGCAGCCTGACCCCACTTCAGTAAAGTACTTCCATATATGAATACCTTTAAAGATATTGTAGTCTCATTGGCCTTAATAAAGTTATTTATGAGTTTAAAGTAATCCCTATGTTTAGTTTGGTGTAGATGAATGTGGATGCTCCAAATAAATGTGCGGACCAATTTGAATGCCTGAGTCCAAAGACTTTTATGAGAGTAGGCACAGGACACAAATGAACATTTTGCACAAATAAATATATACCTGCATTCACATAAACTACTGTTTGCATGTTCTTTGGGTGACATATATACATGTGGTTGAAAACACTGTTTTAGGCATCTTTGAAGACAAGGATTTTCTTTACAAATTTATCTTAGAATGTGCTTCCTATCTCTATGCCCAAAGTAATATTTCACAGCTGTATGTTGTCACATCTTTTGGGAAGGACCTCACAGTTTTTTACAAACATTAATAAAACATGACAAAGACCTGTCTGAGATAGCTATTCAGTCCCATTTTAAAGACAGTTAAAATTAAGCCCAGAAAATGTGATGAGCGCAGTGACATGCTGACTATCATAAAAAGTCTTGTCTTCTAGTGCTCTTCATTAAGTGTTAGACCATGTCCCTTTCTAGCCTTTCATTTTCTCATTGTAACTTTGGACACATGACATCCACCAATCTCATTGTACCCAGGCACTATAAATCCCTTCACATTATAATCCCTCAACATTAACTTCTATGAATGTACTCTATGATGACAGATTATTAATATGTGGAGTTGCTCAGGTTTTTTTCTATTAGGCAGTAGTTCAGCAATTTTCAGCTGTGTGAGAGTCCCCAGTAGGAACTTTCATATTTTCTGCCCGGAAACTGAATCCCTTTCAGTTTAGCATGACAAGTTTGCCTCCTACTTTGCAGACAAAATCACCCATATCCCTCATGGCTTGCACACCACCACTTTTGCTGCAGAGTTAGAGTTTGGGGTTGAGGAAGCTTTGTTTATCTATTTATATGGATCATTTAAAATAGTTATGACCCACTTTTGTGGAGGATGTGCTTGGAGGGACAAGGGCAACCAGCTGTGAACTGAACCCGTTCCAGTCCGCACTTGTAAAAGCCATCTGGGGGACACTGCTGGCAGTTGTTGTCAATGACTCCCTTCGGGAGAACAGCGTCCTGAACAAACACTATTAAATCTGTGTTTGTCCAGCCCCTCCTCAAGAACCATCACTGGATGCTGACTCCCAATCTAGTTATTGCCCCACCTCCAACCTCCCTTTTTTTGGTGAAGGTCATTGAATAAGTAGTCACCTGATAAATCTAGGCACATCTGGATGCCACTGGTCTCTTGTCAGTTTGGCTTTCATCTTGGATATAGTACAGAGACTGTACTCATGGCCTTGGTTTGTGATCTTCACCTGGAGATCAACAGGGGAAACCGTGCCCTGCTTATCTTACTTGATTTCACTGTGGCCTTTGACACAAGTGACCATGAGGTGCAGAAAAACATTTACATGACCTGCTGGGTATTCATGGGACAGCTCTAAATTGATGCCACCCTTTCCTAGCAGGAAGGTCCCAGTGGGTGGTGATGGGCTAGTGCTCATCATCTCCTCAGGACCTTTTCTTTAGGGTCTCTCAGGGCTACATCTTCTCTCTCCTAGCATTCAATGTATGCATAGTGCTGCTGGACAAGACTGTCTGGAGACTTTGAATAAAGTGCCATCATTACGTTGATGATACCCAGCTCTACTTCTCCTTTTTTCTGAACCTGGCCTTACAGTCTCAATCCTTTCCTGGTAGTTGGGGATTGGATGTGGGTGAAACAACTGAAATTGAATCCAGACAAACAGAGGCGATGGTGATGGCCAGGCCACATGACCTGGGGAGGACTGGGACACCTATAATTGATAGGTTTCTGCCTCCCTTTGTCAGTCAGGTTCACAGCCATGGGGTGCTCCTAGATCCTCTGCTGCAACCCGGATCTTCAGGTGGCAGCAGTGGCTAGGAGTGCCTTTCACTAACTCTGAGAAGCTGTGATCATTTCTTTCAGATTCTGATCAGGACACCCTCATTCACACCTTCATAACCTCAAGGCTAAAAACCACATGGAGGCTGCAGCTGGTGCAGAATGTGTGGGTTGCCGTAAGAATGTATCTCCAGCATCTCTGCAAGTCCCCAGTAGCTTTCTAAGCACAGTTCAAGGTGCTAGTTTTGACCTATAAAGTCCTAAATGGCCAGAGATCCACATCTCTAAGGGACCATCTTTTTTCCTATGTCCCATCACAATCGCTAAGGTTAGCTGAGCGCAATCTCCTGCAAGTACTATCTATATGCCAAATATGCTTAATGAAAATGTATGAGATCATTCTCTGCAATTGCTCTTCAGCTCTGGAACTCCCTCCTTCTTGAAGCCCATCAGAACCCAAGCCTTGACATCCTTCAAAAATGCTGCAAGACCTTTCTGTTTGAGCACACATTTAAAAACCAAAACTAGGCCAAGATGTTGTTTAATGGGTCTCTATGTTATTTTGTTTTATTCTATGTTGTATAATTTACTCTAGTTGCCTGTTTACATTTCTGTTTCTCTTGCTGTAGGTCACCCTGAGTCTTTGTTGGGAAGGGCAGCATATAAATTGCATAAATAAATAAATAACCAACTCAAACATTTAAAGCCAGATCTTGTTCTATGTATTTGGTGTCTGAGCAGACTTAAACTACTAAGCATGATTATATTCCACCATGTTCAAGTCCCTGAAAGTCCACTGATACATCTACTATTGCAAAACACCATCCTCTTACCTTTAAAATGAGTCAGAAAAAACGGTAAGGAGAAGAAGGACACACTTACCTTTTTGCATTAATCATTTTTCAAGAACTCAGGCAGGGTGGAACAGGATCACGCTTAGGCATGTAAGTCTATTCACTTTTCTAACAGGTGGGATAGAATCTTAAAGTGTGATTGTAAAATGGGTACTTTTAACAATTTTGTAAAGGAAGGGTAGATATTGTGGGGTTTAACAAATGTCTCAAACTGCATTTCCCTAAAATCACAAAAACAGGTCAAGAATTTATTATTGCCCCATAATTTAAATCCATCTCTTGAATATGTAAATTTTGTTTAAAAAATTGGTATTTTCCTTTACCCTTTCTTGTAAAGCCCATTTTTTGGGATTTGACACTGGAATAAGCATTTTATTCTCAGTTTTATCACTGGAATAAAGCCAAATAAAACTTATACACTTGAAATAATTATTTTTCAGTTTTCCTTTAGTACAATGCATTTGGCCTGTACCTATCCCAATGACATTGTATCATGCTTTCTGATTCCCAGAACAACCAAGCTGCTTGGCAAATCTAGCCAATATGAACATTTCCTACTTTTTCACATTATCATCAACGTAAATTGGAGAAAGTACTTGAATGTTGAATTACATGATCAGAGCTGGCCTTTTATGGACCTCTTCAGACTTTCTGTCTTCAGGGATTTTTTTGAAACTCAAGTGCAATCTTCTGTGACCCAGTTGCCTGTAATGATGACTTGCTTAATACCATGAAACAGTGTCAGATCAGTCTCTTGCTGCAACTATTTCCTCTGCTACAGTAATACTAGCCAAAAGGAGGATGACTGACACCGACCCAGGTTAACCTGTGATTTGGTTTCAAGGTTTTATGAAAAGATGATTTTAAGACTCTGATCCAGAATTCATTTGCATGGGCATATTACCTGATTCAATGAAAGCAGGGCATGTGTGAGGCTGGTACCATCCATCTCCAGGGAAGAGACACTCCAAAGAGTTCTTTCACTTGTACACACTAGTCAGTATGTTGGAACTGTATTGTAGATATGGAAAAGTGGCTCACTACCCTCCTCGGAACAGGGAAGCTAGCCAATGTTTTGTACAGCTAATGGGAGAAGGAATGGGTCTAAAATACACTGCAGCTGATATTCCTAGAACTCCAAAATCATTGTCATAGGAAGGCAAAAAACTGTTAATCTAATTTCTGCCCAGGAGCAGGGTGAGCAAGCCAGTTCCAAACCTATTTTAGTTAAAAAATTGGGGAAAAAAGCATGAACTCTACCCAATTAGGAGTCTGAAGTCACTAACCACGAGCATTTAAAGGGGTTAATTTGTGTGAACTCTCCTCCTAACAGAGTGGAATTAAAAGGCCATGATTCTGCAGAGAAAAATGATCTTAAAGACACTGCGTAGACTGCATTTTGAAGCAGTCTCACTATTTCTAAACTGATTGGTGAGCTACATTTATTAACCCTGGGCCTGATTCTACAACATTTACTCACATTGAGCAGTACTTAATGACATGAGTAGAACCTTTGAAATCAATAGAAGCTACAAGCATAGACAATTGGTAGGCGGGATACAGGGGGGCAAGTGCCCCCCCAACAGGGCTGTCCCCTGCTGCTGACGCTGCTAGTGGCTTCTGTGGGTGCTTGCCAGTACTGTCCCCACTGCCAATGCTGCTGGCGGCTTCTGTGGGTGCTCACCAGCCCCATGCCTGCCACCGCCACTGGCAGCTTCTGAGGGTGTTTGCCAGCCTCGTCCATGCCACTGCCACAGGCTTCTGCAGGTAGCCCCCTAGACTCAGGAGGCACCATCGCCCATGGCTACAAGAATGAGTAAGTAATATCACTTAGTGGTGCATCAACACATGCATTAACGTGTTTTAGTTAATGTGCATTAAATCTAGTACCTCCATTGTGAGGTAGTAGGACATTAGCTTGTCTTAATGTACATTAACTAAAGAGCATTGTGCACCTCTACATGGGTGCAGAGGCTGCTGTGATGTGCTAGAATTCCAGCGTGCCAGAGCAGACTCAATTAATGAAGTCTGCTGGAGCTTGTCAATTACTGCACTCCAGCAGCCTCCTGCATCTCATGTATCAGCATCCCTGCCCTTAAAAATGGTGGGAGGGGCATTTGAACATTTGGCAAGTGCCCCCGTCACCATTTTTAAGGGCAGGGACACCGATACATGAGACACTGTGGCACTTTAATTAGAGCGGCTCTCAGAGCCACTCTAATTAACGTGCCACCCCCCTCCCATCCCAGAGCCCATGTAAAAGTGCCCACAGTTTTTAAGTGATACTTAATGTGCATTAGCCTATTTTAATGTGCATTAACTAAATAGCATGGCTTTTTTAGTGACACTTTAATGCATATTAAAATAGGCTAATACAGATAAGGTGCATGTGTAGACACACCCAGTGAGAATTATTGAGGAACATCAGCTACTTGGTGTCAATGATGACTACAGACTTGAGTCCTCTATGAATTTTTGGAATATCCTTTTGCAAAGTGGATAGATAATATAAGTGTTATTAAATGTTTGAAGCAGCAGTGAAACGGTATCACTTTCCATGACTCTTGTTTCTATTTACTACAAGTTTCCAAACCTATTTGAAAAAGATTATGCAAGAATAACTGTTAAATTCATCTTGACACTTACTTTAAATGTGCAAAGTTTCACAGTCACTTTATAAACAGAAGTAAACAAATCCTGTTCATAGTGTTTATTTTTGTTTGCTGTTATAGGTTTTTTCTAAATTAATTAATCTGGGGACAGTAGCAAGACTCAAAGACATAAATCCTGCAAAGAAAAAGATATTGGAAGAAAAGTACAAAATGGGGTGAGCCATGATACCTGGAGAAACGCATCTATTAAACTGTCAACTTTAACCTTAAAAAATAACTAGACATTCATTGTTGAAAGGTAACAGCAAAACAAAGAGTACATTAATATCTTTCACGGAACAAGGAGCAGGAGGGCCTGATAACATCCACAGTCTACCCACCAAGGACACACTTGCACCTCCAATCATCAGCTTAAATGCATGACAGTCAACAAGAATAAATATAACATGGATGTACACACTATGTATGAAAGTGTGCTGCAAGCAACATCTAGGAAGTGCAGGCATCCACTCTCCATTGACACCATTATACTAAGACATGATTATCCAAGAAAGAAAGAAGAAAGATGCAAATAAAAATTGGTCATTATAAGAAGATCTGCTGCTGATTTAAAAATTAAATTAAAGAGTATTTGTCTGAAAATGATTCACTGTGATTGAAGGCTTTTGCTTACCCCTTTCTGGAGTCCCCCATATGGGTTTGTTGGGAATTTCTGCAGCAGAAAAACAGAAGAGAAAAGGGATTTCTGACTCCTGGTTCAAAAAATAGTGGATCAAACGTCCTCTATCTGGGCAAAAGCTTAAGAAAAGCCCCAAAGGCTTGAATGATCCCTATACCAAATCTGACTTTAGCTCTTCCTCACTCATCAGTTGCCTCCAAGAGAAATCCTACATTATTTAACAAACAGAAAAAGCCACAGAGGGAATGATTGGGGATGTAAATGAAAGGAGATTTCTATAAAATTGTAATTAATCTCAAACTGAAAAAAATCAACACGTGATCTTAAGAATTCTCCACATCTAGGGGTCACTACTTTCTAATATTACTTATATATTCAAAACTCTACCTGTCAAATGATATCTTATTCTGAGGGTCAACTGAAACATATTTGCTTGCTTGTCCTTCCTCTCTCTTATCTTTCCCGAACTCTTGCTCAGATTTCTTCTGAGATAATGTGATTTTAAAGTAATTTCCTTCTTTGCATTTCTCAAATCCCAACTGGTTTGTGTTTTTTAAATCTCATGCTATGCAAGGAGGCCATGGCTTGATATAGGGAACTTTTCTTGATTTGGTAATCAAACTGCTGAAAACAAATACAAATCCAAAATAGAGAGTCCCAAGTCATTTCCTAGAGGAGGCAACCCCAGTTACTTCAATCACATCAAAGACATCATGGCTGGTATGTTCACAAATTGCTGACAGTAAATGGGGAGCTGTTTATTGGTGAGAGTGGTAATGCAGCTAGGGGAGAGAAAACCCAGCCTTGAGAGTGGCAGACAATAGCTAATACTGGCAAACTGTCCCTTGCAAATCATACTTGGTTTTCTTGTTTCCAGGAAATTCGGTATGTAACTTTAATAATGTTTCCCATGAACAGAGGTGTTGTAGAAATCAGCGGTGAAGATTCTTTTCCCTTTCTTATTACTGACCATCTAATATAGTCATGCCATTTACAGTGAAGAAAAGGCTGGCCATGACACAAGTTCAAATTACAGTGATTTTTAGTTGGGGGCATGACAGCCCTGAAAAATCTAGGCTCCAGATTCAGCTAGAACACCCCTTCCTTCTAACACTGCCAAAATGAACTTAGGGAGAAGTCATGGGCTAAAATTCTAAATGATAATTTAGAGAAATCTGGGGAACTGCAATTTTTTTCTCTGTTTGCAGTCCATATCATAGGAAAGCAGAAGGTGCTGCAAAACAGACTTCTATAGAAAAAGAGTATAGTATTTAAGGTATGAAAAATATAGCAATGGAAGCCATTTTTCAGTACATGTATGAGCTAGATCCACAAAGAAAACTTAGGTGTCACAGCACTGGGTATGGCAGCACCAAACTAGGTTTTGTCCAATGAATACTTTCATATAAAATAGTGAAGAGTACATTGGAACAGGTATTGGCACCCAGCTATCCTCCTGCCCAAGTGAGCACCCTAGCCAGTATTTTAAGGTCATGATTGCTTGCTTTCTTTGGTGTAATGACTGTTTCATTATTCCATACAGCATATAATAACTTCAACAGGAGCCATCAAGAGCATATCTATCTCAGAATAACTGGAAGTCTGGTGGGAAACGGGCACTTTCAGGCACTGAAACTAGGTCTTGCACTTCCTGGGTAAACTATACACTAAACCAGGGCTGTCCAATAGGGAGCCTACAGGCCACCTGTGGCCCTTGGGCTCCCAGTCCAGGCTGCTGCTGGACTCTCCAGACTCCCTCTCTCTCCTCCAGAATCTGTTTTTTGCCTCCACCCCTGGGTGCTGTGCAGCATGTCCCACAAGCCTGAGAAAGCCCACAGCCAAAGGGTTCAAGGGGAGCTGGAGCCCGCACAGGGCACAGGAGGTCATACTCCATGCAAGGGGAGGGCATACGATGCAGCAGGCGGGGCATGTGGCACAGTGTGTAGGGCATAAGAGGTGCTAGCATGATGCATGGGGGTGGCCACCATGTGGCATGGCAGGGGGGTTGGCTTGTGCAGCATGCGGCCTGGAAGTGTGTGGCCCTTATGGCATTGCTGAGAGGCCTGCGACCCTTGGTCACCCAGAATTTGGAAAGCCCTGCACTAAAATGTTGGGTAGAGGAAAGGTATTACAACTCCCTGCTCCTCTTCCTGATGATGTTTATGCTTAACCTTTTCTGGTAGGTATGCTCTGGGAACCCCTATGGGATCACACCCTACTGGCAGCATAGGCAGAGGAATGCCCAGTTTGGGCATCACTGTTCACCATTGCCAGGCCTAAGGCACTTGGGGCACGTTCAGAAGAAGACCTGTGGGTAACCACAGAATTTAATGTTTAAAACTTAGGTTGATTGGGAGTTTTGAGGATCTAAATTCTTAGGGACCTAAAGTGGCAGATATTCTGTATGTATTTTTAACATGCCAATACTTAATTTCCTCTGGAACCAGAATGAAATTTAGAAAATGCTAAACTCGTACAAACTTTGCCAATTTCAAAATTTACCAGCTCTCAGAATTTGAAGTGGGATTATGTAGAATCGGATTTGCATTATACACACTTCAGATATAATCTGTTTTCATCCTGCATTTTCATGATTCATTGCATATATGCTCCAAAAAATACGTTGTACATATATACATACACGTCTGTGTGTGAGAGAGAATAACTATTTTACAGCATTTCATTTAAGTTTAATTTGCATTCAACTGCTGCTCTTAGAATGATTTTCCAGGAGATCCAAACCTTCTTCACAGCTGAAGAAGAGACAAAACACAGGCAGCCTTTTTTTTATTGAATTAATTTGATTTTTGTCTTTTGTGCTGCCAGCTATCAAAATTGTCAAATAAACCAGCTTTGATTCATAAATAATGGTTCCATTATATCTACTGTGCCACTGGTCAGAGTACCTGAAATTTTAATTCACTTGTTCAGCTAAATTTCATCCTCAGTTCATGGCCATAAAATTCTGTATTGACAAACTTTCAAACCAACTTTGACTCTGAGGTATCTAGTCAACATTTTTCTTCTGTGTGGATATTAGTTTATTGAATAAGTGGCATCTGTTTTCCTCCACATCCCTAGTGGAGTAGGTATTTCCTTTTGACAGCTTTGCACGATTTATGGGTTTGCATGCTCCGAAGAAAAATAGTACTAAGCAAAAAATCCCAATTCATTACCTCTTAGTACTTAATTAAGTCCATACACATTGCACACTATATGTGAACCCTGAAATGACTATGACAGCCACTGAACAGCAAGTTATATTATCTTTGGAAGACAGAGAGACTTTTAATTATCTTGACCTCATTTTTCCATCTATGATATTAATAAATTTTCCTCCTATTTTATTCCCTCCAACAGATCTACCAAACCATTCTGAAAACAAGATTATATTCTTAGCTATTTCTTCTTATCTGTACATTTAGGCACCGAATGTTTTTACAAATAGTGAAGTCAAGCAATGGCCATTATCGGCTTACTTCACACAGCTGCAGATGAATAATGTTGTACAGGCTTCTCCTAATAATGGCTTGGTTTTGGAAATGATAACAGGCTGATAAAAGCAGAAAGCAGTGCATCTGGCTATCAATAGATACAGAAATAAAGAGAGCCTGTGTTTTACCTGTCAGGGTTCTGCGTACACACATGCATCTGTAAGAGGATCCGCTGAGTGAAAGTCTTAAAGCATTGCCCACATTTCCAAAGATGCCAGTCACTGAACTCAGAATTTAGTTGGCTTGTTGAAGTTGGGCTTGCAAGAACTCGCTGGTTTTTTACACTGATCTGGTTAAATCCTGACTCGATGGACCCAGACTTATCCAGAAGAGAAAAATTTCTGCTGCATGGAGTCTGTGGAAATACTATGGATCGCTGTGGAGTGGCAGGGGGTAGTTTGTTACTTTTATTAAATGGCTGTAGGGTGTCTTGTCTGGACATGGCCTCCATTACCGTCGAAGGGACATTCACTGAGAGAAACAAACAGACAAACAAACAAGCAAGTAAATAAGAGCTTCTTTACTATTTTCTTAAAATGAATGCAGTTTGGAGGGAAGATAAAAAAAAAATTAACATCTTTTCTGCTAGAATCAAGCAGCATCATTTTAATAATGCATGTAAAATGTGTGTAGAGAGGTGGATGAAACAGTGATCTGAAGGGTCATACTGCACAAACACATATCCAGAGAGACATCTGAGAGTTGAAGAAGATTCAGAATAGCGTAAGAGTGTTAAGAAGAAAGGAACTGAGGTCTGAGACAAAATTCTGCTGGTCTGACTCTGTATGAGAGCTGTGTATTGCAGATACTATAAAGTTAGAGGATGAATGATACACATGCAGCGTTTCAGCCCCTCTGCTTCCTAGCCCACAGAAGAACCCTCTTAGCTCTTGTGGTAACATTTCCCTTGCAGGTAGCCAGTAAAAGCCAAAAGCACCTCCTCACCCAGGCATGAAGCTCCAGTTCAGTACAGAACCAGTACAAAAATAAGTATTTTTATTGTTCATGAGTAAGGCTAGCAAGATTTAGTTCACTGTAAGACAGTGCAAAATGTAAGCCTAATTACCCTTGTGCCTCAGTTCCCCACCTATGAAATGGGGATAAAAGTGTCAGGATGGTAAATTAATTAAGCATTGTGAGACACTTCACTATTTTGATAATCGGTTAAATATAATCCTTCTCATGAAGAAATAAAATAGTTTATATTCAGTTTAGCATGTGGAGGCAGTGTGGTATATAAGGAAGGAAATTTACATGCATAAAAGAGTAATGAGCCTCATTCCCTGAGCAATGCCCAAACAGCACATTGAATGAGGTAGGAGCTAGTGGAAAAATAGTTCAGGAATCACATATGTAAAGGCTATACCATAATTCACAAAATTAAGATCACCTGGAAACCCTAAATTCTGGTGTATCCTAATTTTTGAGTGCTTGATTTTTGCAGTCTAATATTATTTAAATATAGGGTGTTTTGTGTTTTATGCCTGTGCACACATGTGTGTGCATGCACACACATACAAAGATGTGTGTGCATGTAAGTGAATGAACTACAGATCGTAGCAGATCATTTAGCTGCTGCTTTATCTCAGTGAGTGATTTTGACTAATTTCTGATTAATTACTGTAGGTTTTAAATTGCAATAGTAAGCTGTAGCTTTCCATTGTTATTCAAGATGAAATAAAAAAATACAAATCCATTTTGATAAGATACTATAAATAAAATGTTTGCTTTACAAATTTTTATTTTAATGTTTCCTCGACCAGGAAAAATGGGTAATGCAAGGTATGATATGTAGCTATGCTCTCTCTGTTGCTCAGCATTATGGCATCCCAGAGCTTCTTTTAGAAGTAGTTATACCCATTTGGCTGGGCACTGCAGTACAGTTTTAAAGACACAAAAAATAATCTTAGGTGTATCCATAACATATGAAGAAGAAGCAGTGGTCTGTGTATTTATATTGTCTTAATGGTAACAGGAAAATCAAATTACATTTTTAAAAAGCTGCAAATAGAAAACTCATCTAAGGAATCAAATCAGGAAATTAAGGAACTGAGGAATCACATCACAGTTTATCCCAGGGGAAATTCACCTCTGTGCAAAAGGCCAGTAGAAGCTGTATTTTGAGGTTTAAGTGGCACTTAAAGTTGTGCATGGTCCTTATGTTGGCTCTGTGCCCAGAGAAAAATTTCACCCTTTTCATCAGTCTCCCTGACTTGTAGAGGCAAATCTTCAGTTTCTCTTGCAACAAAACATGGAGTGACCATACACAGAGATTTAACTGTGGTGCATCATTTTTAAATAAGGATCTTGCAAGTTACAACTCACAAAAGTGAAAACAATATTTTTCTATTGCTATGGGACAGCATGATATTTATCACTGAACATTACTGCCAGTAACTTAATTTCTTTTAAACTCTTCTCAAGCTCAACAGATTTGAAAACTCATGATGAAAAAGGATGTTTATTTTTGACAGTTTAATCCCCAGTATCTTGCTGTTTTATTGCTGTGCGGTTCAGTATTTAAGTTGCTAAGAGATACAAGTTCATCTCAGTATAGCAGTTCAAGCATCCAAGTATTTGACTGAAAAAATATATCTTATATATAGCTGATTATGCGTTGGCAGCCACAGGGTCACTTTCAGCCAAACAAAGTCAATCAAGCATCTATTATTGGTTTCTTCCACCACATACACACACACAGCTGTCAAAATGGAAAAGAAGTCTCCAATGCAAGTTGAAAGAAGGGAGTCCCATACATAAACAGACCAGTTGCGTGGGTCCCTAAGCCCTCTTAATTCTCACTAAATATGAGGACATAAACACCATGCAGGATTGGGTCCATATTAAAAATGGTATGTTTATTTTGCTTTTCACTATAAAATAATAATAAAATATTGAAAGAAAGGCAGGACAGGAATAAATGGTGAGAGGGATGATCACAACAAGATGGAAGTACTATCATCATAACAAGTTAGTTATAATTATCTTTTATTTAAAGGATCTCGCATTTTCTCCAACCACAAAAACGTCATCTTTTTGGTCAGTCAGATAAGGCCTTACTCAGCACATCCAATGCTAATACAATTATAAAACAGTTGCAGTGGCTTCAAGATGACATTATAATATCCTTTTGGCTAGGCAGGATTATAGGAAAGTAGGTCTCGAAGGAATCTCACAAGGTCAGCTGGTCCGGCCCCCTGCTCAACACAGAATTGTCCCAGCCAAATATTTGGCTAACTTGCTCTTGAAAATTTCCACAGATGAAGATTCCACTGCTTTGCTAGGGAGCCCGTTCCAAAGCTTGACTATCCCTAGAATCAGAAAGTTCCTCCAACCTAAACTTCCTCTGCTGCAGCTTGAGGCCATTGTTTCTAGTCCTGTCCCCTATGGCCACAGAGAAAAATCCATCTCCATCCTCTCTATGATTGCCTGTCAGGTATTTGAAAACTGTTATCAAATCCCACTCAGTCTTTTCTTCTGCAGACTAGGGAACCCTAGTTCTTTCAGGCCTTCTTCATAAGTCTCGCTTCCCAGGCCCCTAATCATTTTCGTCATTCTGCACTGGACTCAGTGCTGAATAGAGTAGAAGAATCACTCCCCTCGATTTGCAAGTGACACTCCTGTTAATACAAACCAGTATGCTGTTGGCTTTTTTCTGCAACAAGAGCATGTTGTTGGCTCATATTCAGTGTATTGTGTACCATAACCTACAGGTCTTTCTCTGCAGTATTGCAGCCATAGACAGGGAGGTATATGGTAGGATCGATAACTAGGGAAAGAGTTGAGGGAGTAAATTAAGGATGAACAGATAAGTTAACCTCTAAAGAGGACTTTAACATATGACAAAGCAGGGGAAGGCAGAAAGGCAAGCTGCTATGGGGACACCCATCACTTAGTTACACAGCCGTGAAGTAAAGTACAGGAGTAATTTTACTCATGTCATATTTCCATTGAAAACCTTAAATATTGTCAGTTTTTGGGCCGTATATTGTACTCAACAAGCTATTTAAATAAATATCCAGAGCACACTTCATATGTTCTAAGAAAGTCCAGGAATACAGCTGGAAGATTAACTGAAACAAGAATTTGAGATACAAAGAAACAAAATAAAGTACTTACAGTTTTCATCCTGTGCAATGCACTGTAAAGGGATTCCAAAGAAAGACGTGTAGCTGTCATTGTACCACACCAACAGCTCAGTGCCCCGGGGGATATCTATACAGGCCCTGTAGAATATATTTGACCTAGTCATAACAAACAGAAAGATAGCCTAGTGTAAGAACATGTAGGGGTCTGTTTACCATCTGCATTAGTACAGTGGAATTCCACCTACTTAAAAGTATTTCTGCAGGGTATCCCAAATGAATTGATTATTGTAAATGTGAATCCATCATCACTGCAGGATTCATTTAGGTTTTAATACTTGCTGTTAGCAACACAGATGAAGAATTTCTTTAATGTACAAAATAATTCTTAACATGACAGTGTTCATCTAAAACTGAAATATATCAGTTGAGAGATTCTTGGTTGAACATGGTGAACATTTGCTCTAGTGCAGTCCAAAAAAAAAAAGCTTGTAAGGCAAAGTGCTACTGAAGACATCTTTCTTCATATGGAACACAAGGACTAGGTTGACGGCCCTTCAGTAAGTATGAATTACTGTTACGGATAAATTCCATCCTATGGGAAAACATTTTTGATTTTCCTAAGCCACACATCCAAGAGTTTCCCAATTTATGAAAAAAGCTTAGTGTTTTGCAGACTAGAGGCTTAACCCCAATCTGATGTTGAGGGAAACAGCTCAACGGTAATTCAACTCAAGTTAACAGAGTTACATAGATGTAACGGAAAGCCAGTGTGAAACGAGGATCAGGCATCTATGAGTGAAATAAAAATCCTATCAGTTTGTAGTGGCTTTTCCCTTAAGCCTGGTATAGTACAGTAAAACACCCTTCTATGAGATGGATAGAAATTCAATACATACGAGAAGAGTGTTCCACTCTGGCTGAAAGATTACACACCAAAATGATACAGTCAAGGTACCAAGAAATGACCATTTTTTATAACAGCTTGTGTAAGGCAGAAACGTATCTATAGACTAAAAAAAAATGTTAGACCTCAACTGGTTTTCTCAGTGAAGAATTGCTACAAATATTAGCCTGAAGTTCAAGATAAAAGTGTTTAGGGTTGGTAGGCCTTAAATTTAGCCTTTCTGTAAAGAATTGGCTGTAGCAGTGCAATTTGTTCCTTGTATAACACTGCAGACATAAGGAGAATCCTTTACCACATTTTTCATGGCAGTGAGATATGCACTTGTCAACATATTTTGTCACCGCAAAGTGGCTCTTGGCAACAGAATCATAAAGATCAATAAAAAAGTGCAGATTCTCAATATTTTACTAGCAGCTGCAAAAATTTCATTTATCTTGTTATTTTCCTCGCTTACTGCCACCCTGTCTCAGGAGGGCACTGCTAGCTAAGCAAAATGTTTTTTCCCAACATTCTATGAATATCTGACAAAAACTCTAGCTTTTGCATCTCTTTCTCGCTCCTTCTCCATTCCACTTTCTCTCTCTGTCTCCCTCTTTCATTCTCCCTCTCTTTCCAAAGCTGTACATTTTATTAATTTTTTCCACTATTACATAAAAATCAAAATTGGAGCTGTGTTATAAATCACCAGCTTCTCTTAACTCGAGAAAAATTGAGTCTACTTTGTACTTCACCCTTGTAACATTTCATCTCTCAGTTTGGCTTCCCTTAACATAAACACAGCGGCCCAGCAAATGAATGTGCTAAAACCAAATGACACACTTTGCCGCTGAAAGAGCAGAACTGTTTTTGAGCAATGGGTGGTCTGTGAGGCTTGGAGTAGGCTGAAAAAAATGTGTAAGTGTATACCGTTCCTTACAAGCATACAGAGCTTCCAAAACTTGCAGAAATCTCTGCATGCTGAAGTACATCAAAGGGATTTTTCCCTTTTCGGATAATATTTCCTTTGCTGACATGTATTTAGTATTGTGGTTGGATGACTCATAAAGATAGTTTCATGGCGTCCCAACGCAGTTGAAGCAGAACACATGCCAACAAACATTATTGTCAGCCTCAAAATAAAAACAAAACGTTCAGCTAAGGGTCAATCAATCAAGAGTGCTTTGAAGAAAATTCCATTTAGATATTACAAATCATAACAGAATGAATTTAAACCAGCTGACTTTCTGTGAGGAGGACGTCCATGTACAATAAAAATTAGGCTGGTTTTTCAGTGTCCAACTTTTCTATTTTCTTACACTTGGATGTAGTCACTGGTGATGGATGCCAGTTTTTTAAATTGTGTTTTTGTAGTTCATTTTATAAAGATCTGAAGTAATCGAAAACAGATCAACAGAGGGAACTCTAAGTAAAAGCTCCATCATGAAAAGAGAGTTGTAAAATCCACTTAATATTGACAGATGTATAATGACTTTCTTATACCCATTTTTTGTTTAAGTTTTTTCGTGTGTGTGTATGTGTGTGTGTGTACGTACCTACACATACACACTACACAGACTGACATACACAACTATAGTTTTCTTACTGGTTCACAAACTACCTGGACTACCAGCTAAAGTACAATGTGAGAGTTTTTGCAATACAACAGTCTTTGCTCACTTTTTTTGTGGATTGTCTATTTAAACTCTCAGACAAAACATTTAGCAAAAATATTAACTATTTAAGAGTATATTAGAAGATTTGTAATATATTGCAAATCACCATCATATATTCTTCTTTATTTTTTCTTGAATGCTTACATTATGTAGATCAGTGGTCACCAACCAGTGGATCTCGATCCACCGGTAGGTCTTGGAGCCTCTTGAAGTAGATCTTACAGCCTCTTGGAGTCAATCTGGGGCTGGGGTGGTGGGCTGAGTGCCCGCATGCATGCATATGTGCACCCCGGCCCAGCAGGTCAATCTGTGGGAAAGGGAAGGGGGCTAGATCAAGGCCCCCGTGGTGAGGGGCAGTGCCACAGAGGCAGGAGCAGGGGTAAGTTGAGTAGGGCCCTGGCCAGGTGGGACTTACCTGCTGGGGAGGCGTACCCCCAAATTACTTTTTCTCCCTCTGCCTCAATCTGCCCCTGCTTCCTTCCCCATAGACTTACCTGCTAGGCAAGGGGATGGGGGGTGGCAGCAGCACACAGTAGATCTTGGGTTGCTTTTAAATGCCAAAGGTGATCTCCTACTTAAAACGGTTGGAGACCACTGATTTAGATAATTGCCCAGAAACAAAGAATGTTAAAACATTTAACTGGACCCTGTTACTGTTATTAAATTGAACCCTTAGGGAAAAC